AATCCTTGTGGGTTCAATCTTTTTATTATTATAATATTATCGGTACACTTGTCGATAAGTCATCAACATCCTCAGGTGTCTTTCATCTCCCTTTAGGTTTTACCTGAATCAGATCCTAATTGTGTCACCATCAAGTCGAGTGCGTGAATTCTACTACTTCTAAATTGATCCAAGAATCTTACTATGACAAAAGACCTAGGAGGCACAATACATCATCAAGGTTAGCAGTCATCTCACTGATAGAAAGATAAAATAATAATGTTTCTACCTGCCACACTTAAACTAATGTGTCTGAATTTCAATATCTAAAGTTGAATACGAATTTTGTGATTAGGGTAAATTCAAATTTAAATTTCCAGACTTATTTTATACTTGTATTTTGCATGGTTCTGAGGTTGGTTTTGTTGTGTTTAGAATGCGTCTGAATTCCCATTTCTATATCCTAAGGGTATTTTCAAAATTGGCTAAGTACCCTATTTTTTCCTTATCTATACCTTAGGATCTAGTTTGGTCCCTTAAATTTTAAAAATACCAAATTGATTCCTTTTTTCTTCAAACTGCGACATATACGTCATTTCCATCTATTTCTCACTAACGATGTCTATTTTTGCATATGCGGCTTCCTAGTTGCCATCTAGTCATCACCTTCTTCATTTTTTGTGAAACCAGGAAAACCCAAAAACTCACATTCATCAACCCAGAAAACCTCATAAGGGTATTTAGCCTATTTTTGCATGCTTTTGTTAAAATTACAACCAATGACGTAGCTAATCTACAATACTCTCCTTGCAATTGTATAACTCTTTCTTTTTATTCAAAAACTACTCAGATCTAAATTCTAATTTAAACAACCATCAAAAAGATTTCTCATGATGGAAGTGAGGGGTTTCGATTTAGGATACCAAATAGGTTTCGATTGAGGGGTTTCTCATGTTATAAAAATGGTTTCTCGTGATAAAATCTAACACTTAAAAGAAGGTGAGGGGTCTCTCCTGATGGAAATGAGGAGTTTCATATTTTAGAGAGTAAACATAATAAAAATCGCATGGGAGAAACAGTAAATCAACTCTCAAAATCAGTTCATTTAAACATAATAAAGTGAGTTATGCTAAAACTGTTTTATAAATTTGTGGCAAATTGTTGGGTATGAGATTACAATCTTCATTTTTTATTAGTTTGAATTATGATCTTCATCTTCTCCAATGTGGCTAACTTGGGAAAACTAGTTTATATGTTTTTTAATAAATTTTATTTCAATTGGGAAAACTAGTTTATATGTTTTTTAATAAATTTTATTTATTATGTGGCATACACATGCCTTCCACCTTGACAAATAAAATTGCAACTAATTATTTCAAATTCCACATCAATTTCATGTAGACCATTTCATTGACTTTGACTATTAAAGTAGACGGAAAGAACTAATATGGTATATTTTGTATAGTTGAAGAACTGTTATGGTATTTTTAAAAGTTAAAGAACCAAACTGAACCCAAATCAAAAAAAAGAAATGAAAAAAGATGTTTAGCCTTCAAATTTTCCTAAAAGTGAAGGAGAAATTTTCAAAACTTAGTAAGAAATGGAGAAATGCAATGAATAATGCCAAAAAAAATTAAATGAGATGTTCAGATACCACAGGGAATCATCATCCCTTTTACTATATTCCCACTCCTATCAGCAACTCATTAGTCACAATTTCACAAGGGAGTTTCTTAATGCACCCTTTAAGTTCTTAACCACCACGCGAAAATACATAAATTTCAGATTTCGGAGATGCATCTCCGGACACCAAAGACTCAGTTAACGTTAAAATATTTCAGAGGTGCATCTTCAGAATATTTTGTAGGCTAAATCGCAGCAGACCATTCTCTTTCCTCATTTCTTATTTTGCTTAAAACCAATTCAAACTCTCTCAAAAAATTTTCTCATCACCAAGTCAAAAATCAATCAACAAAGCTCAAGGGAACTTCAATCAACATCATCCAACCCTGAAGAAAAGTTGAAATTTGTATATTTTTTGAGTTTTTGATAAGTTTTTGAATTTGTGTTAATGAGTAGAAATTAATGATTAAGATTAGATATGAGTAGAAATTGCATGTATGATAGTTTAGATATAGTGTATTACACGTTTGTTGACTGAAAAGGATTATCAAAGCACCCCAGGTTTCAGGTTGCTCCTATTCAAGCACCTGAGGTACCCGATTCACCAGTGTCACCTCCTTCTATAGATGCTTCTGATTTTGTGTCACCTCCTATTGCTGATGTTACTGATTCAGTACCACCTCCGGAGGTTGAGGCTGTTGCGGATGCTGAGTCAGAGGCATTTGGAGAAGGCCCTGTAGATTCGTCATTAATGCCTTTGTACCTAGACCATACTGTCAGACATATTTGGGATACAGAGGTAGCATTAGTTGGATTCATTCTTTTTTATTTACGTTAATTTTAATTGACAAATTTCTGACATTGATTTCTATTTTTTTCAGGAGTGTGATTATTAGAAGGTTATTAACCACAGACATAAGATTCTTGGCTTTCCTCATCCGAATGAGGATTGGTTTCAGGCACTTTTGTCCTTATCTTGCCTGAAAGACTTGTGGATGACCGGTTATACTACGGTCAACCACGGGATGCTTAATGCATTAATGGAGAGATGACACTCTGAGACTTCGTCATTTCATCTTCCGCTTGGTGAGATATCTATCACACTCGACGATGTCTCGTGTTTGCTACATCTTCCGATCAGGGGGATACTTCTAGATCAAGGAATGATTATCAAAGACGAGGCACTCGAGATGATGATAGACTATCTAAGGGATGGCCCAGGGGAGGCAAAGGAGGAGTTGGATAGAACCAGGGGTGCTCATGCTAGGTTTGAACACCTGGAGAAGATATATACACCTGGTGATGATGAGCAGTTGACGCTCTACATATCGTATGCTATGAGATCATAATCGATTATATTCGGTTGGCACTACGATTTTTGTGGACAGGAGTTCCACTTATACAAATATTGTCTACCTACGGTACTTTGAGAAAATTTTCGACCGTATTCATGAGTACAACTAGGGGACCGTTTGTTTGGTCTACCTGTATTCGAAGTTGAAAGAGGGTTGTATGTGGAAGACGAAGCAGGTCACAGGCAAAATCACATTACTGACGGTAATAGTTATTGGTCTCTTAATGTTTCTTTGCAAAGTCATTACTAATCATTCGTGTGTTCTAAACTTTTCATTTCAGACTTGGATCCTCGATCATTTCCCGCGCATCTCTGGTTGGGCGAGTCTACCAATTTACTCTGAGGATATGCCTTGTGCTACTGCTTTTTTCTCGCTTATAAGGAACCGGTTGACTAAGCCATTTAGAGTGTATCTTGACCATTTGGTTGTCGAGGACATGTGTTTCAACAACTATGTTGATCACTGTGAGATACGATTATTTGACGAGATAGAGTTATACTCAGAATGGTTGGCCTACGAATCGTGTCTCACTATTTTTCATCTGTCCGGGCGCGACATGCGGCAGTTCGGTTACACCCAGACCATTCTCAGACACCATGTTGTCTCTACTCATCCAACTTTGACATGTAGACAGATAGATGACATGTTTGATGATTATGAGAGTCATCTGGTACCGAATGAAACACGGAGTACCATAGATGTGAGCTACTGGAGCTACGTCGAAGGGTGTATTAGATGGTTTTTAAGGTGTCACATTCATACATGGTGCATGCTGCTCCGGGAGATCCGTCGAGGTCAGCTCATCAGGAGATACTAGAGGAGGAGCAGCCACAGTTAGATCATGATAAGGATGTCTTACCTAAATGTTGGCCCATAGTAGAGATTACACAGGCAGGTATTGACACAGGTATCTTCCTTGATGGGTCTGATGTAAGGTAGATCCTAGATGTCATCATGACAGAGACATAGGGGCCTTGATGCATCGAAGACAACACCGAAGGATGGAGGAATTAATGGCCGATGAGGTAGAAGAGGCAGAGGGGATGTAGTCAAACATACACAGTAGTGTATTAGTATATAGTAGTAGTACTATAGATTGTATTTTATTAACATTATGCTACTTTATCATTATTCTCAACTTTTTTGACATTTATTGATCTTTTATTTATATATGACATTTTTGGACCATCTAGATTTATGTCTGTTATTTTTTGCATTTCGATTGTATGATTTAAATCTACATCTGAATACACGTAAAGAAAACATAACATGAAGAGTTTTGTTCGGATACGTTATGAATATGTATTTCCGTATAATTCACAAAAAGAAAAAAAAAACATCTCCAAAACAATACTCATGTATAATGATTTGTAAATGTGATACATAGTATATATTTTAAATTATTACGAAGTTGTATCTCCGTAATATTTTAACGTTCAATCAGAATTTGATGCGCTCAGATATACATTTCTAGAATCGGAATGTATTTATATATTTTGGCGTGGTATAAAGGATGTATTAAGAAATTTCCATTTCACAAACAATCTCATCTATGTAATTTCCTTTTCTTTATTATTTGGATCATTTCATTTTACTATTTTTCCAGTGAACAGATAATCTCTTGGATGAGTTGATCCAACTATGGTGTAGGTAGACATAAATATATGAACTATGAAGAACTATGAAGAACAGCAGAGTCACAACTAACGATCAATTTCATAATCATGGTTTCTTTCCTTCCTCCATGCTATGAACTATGAAGAACTAATTCAATCATAAAAACACATAAAGACACCCATCTAGTGCCCACACAAATGATTTTAGTTATGAGTTTAAATATACATTATTTACAAGAAAATTAGAAGGTCAGAAGAATCACTGGACACGGAATATTGGGAGTGAAGAACATTAAATTCCTTGAATCAGGTCAGTAGCATTTAGCTTGTTGCAAGGAAATCACCTGCATTTGTTAATTAAATTCCTTTACACCACCAATTTACAACAATTCGAAGAGAGGGAAGAAAACACAAAACAAAGCAGTCTTCAACCTGCAACACAGACATTTTGTAGTTTTTAAGGAAAGTATGAATGAAGCAGGCAAGATGATGACTAAGAAGAATAAACGGTTCTCAATACCTTCTGTTTATTTTATACATACATACATACATACATGCGCGCACACACAAAGTACTATTGCTTAAGCTGAATGTGAATAAAATCAAAAAGTTGACTGTTTCAGATTCATACCTTCCTCGGAGAAGTCAAATATATCACCAAGCATGTCATCATTATCACCATCTTCATCAGACTTTTCCCTGCCAGAGGGACTGCTACAATCCATATCAGTAGTAATTTCTGCTGATTCATGACAGTCAACTGAGGCTTTACAATAACCCTCTTGAAAAAATTGCTCGTAGTCTGGTGAGTCACGGAGTGACTCCTCACAAGTAACATGCATATTCATATCACAACCACTAAAACTTGAATTGAAACAGTCACCATGTTCTGATGATTTAACCTTTGTTATACTATCAGCAAAATTTGAGGCACCTGTTGAAACCTCAATTGTGTTAACAGTTTCCAGGCTAAAAAAGGGGTGATGTCAACACAACTACAACTACTTCTTTGTTCTAGCATTAAAATTTAAACTAATGTCTAATTAGGATAAATATCTTACAATATCAGTTAGAATTTAAGAAAATATCATATAGGATTGTGATATCATGCTATAGTACCTTAGTTTATCTCATAAAATCAGTTTGTAATCTTAGAGTATCTTAGACTATCTCACAGGATTATTTTCTATATTGCCTAGTTATTATGATGTGTTTTTTAAATTTTCTATTTATTTGTAATTAGAAGTCATGTATTCATAGAGGTCAGTGTTTAGTTTTCGTAACAAGCTACTATCAAGTTACTTTATCATCAATAACTTCAATGTGGTATAGAGGTCAGTCTTTATTTTATGTAAACTAAAACAAATAACTTCAATGTGGTATCTGAGCCTAGTTCGACCCTATGTGACTTGTCTCACTACTATTCCACTGCCGAGTTCCTGAAACTTTGGGACTGTAACTGGTAGTTATATTCAAAACTTTGCTCATCTTTGTCTAACGACAGAGCAACTATCCGTCGCTGTCTCCATCAACCGCGACCGTACCAGCCGCTATTGTTGTCTGCCCCACTCATTGTATTCCGCCATCTGCCACTTCTGGAGAAAAAATCGACGAGCTCTCTGATGAAACCCCGCCATCGGAAGCTGCCAACTCTGATTTTTTATTTTTTATTTTCAAATAGTTTGTTGACATCTTCTGAATTTTTGCTAGTAAATTGTTTAAGTCATGGTTTTCCAGTGAGCCTTTTGCCTTGTCTCAATTTAGTGTCTAATGGCAAACTCTCTAGTCATTGGTAGTTAACACTGTTAATAGTCTCTAGTAGTCTCTTTCTCCAACTAGCGTTAAGGTTGAGTCATTGGCACCAGTCACAAATGACATATCCCCCTTAAGGTAAGTTCTTTCAAGCTGAGGACAGTGTGCAGCTAAGTATCATCGCAGATTCGTCTGGATTTGGTTCTTTCAAGCTAAGGGATACAATTCATGAAAGTTGATTGATTTGGTGTTCTCTTTCAAACAGATATATTGGTTACAAGCTTAAAACTTAGTAAGCGTTTGCTTGAGGAGTAGTGTTAGAATATAAGAAAATATCTTCATGTGTCTTGATATTATGCTATAGTATTTTAGTTTTTCTTGTAAGATACAATTGTTATCATAGAATATCTCCTAAGATTAGTTTCTATATTCCTTGGTTATTATTATGATTTGTTTCCTGGTTTCTCTATTTATATAGGATTAAGATTTAAGAGTCCTCTATTTATAGAGGTTAGTGTTAATCTTATGTATTTAAGGACACATCTGGGAATGAGCGTGTTCTCGTGTGTGACATGCGTTTGTGTATGACAGTCATATGACACATGGTCGGCAACTCAGACATGTATCCCAAAAAAACTTTTTTTCCCTTTGCTTTGACAAACCTTACATTCCTCAAACACATCAACAAGAGTTGAAGATGTGTCAAAGCAATGATGATCAATGAAGAGGTTAAAGATATTAAATTTGATTACATCACTTTTAGCTTTTTAGTAATATATGGATGAATGAAGGTAAAGAAAAAAACTATCATATTTTGTTTTAGATTACTTTTTTTATGAAATAAATTGCTCAATTTAGATTCCCATGTGTTTTGATTTTTAGATATTTTAAAAATAATGTTCATCGAAAGTTGATCCATGTAACCGACCCCACCTAATGGGATAAGGCTTGGTTGTTGTTGTATAAACAATATTCATATTTTATTTAATTATAATAAATAAATATGAATCAATGCAAGTGTCTTATGTTTTTGACATAAGCAGTATTCGCGTGTCCGTGTCAGAGTTGGAGTCCATGCTTCTTAATAATTATGTTACCATCGAGCTACTATTAATAATATTCAAGCTCTTATCATTTCTCTTTTCTTACATCTAAAATCCATAACTTCAACAATATCGTGATATTAGGATTACTTTCTTATCTTAGAGTATCTCTTAATTACGTGTAATTAAGTTTATGTATGTTTCCATAATCTATTATTTATGTTTGGTTTGAAATCGTTCAAGTAGATCTTTGATGGCCATAAGTGCTGGCTTAATATTGCCGCAATTTGAGTTTCTTGTTGTTCATGAAAGTTAGTTAGTTGTCTTTTTGGTACTTGTTACTCTTTCAAAGTATATTTCTAACAATCTTAAAGCTTGGTAATCTTTATGTTGAAAGGAGTGATAGAATATAAGAAAAATATAACTTCTAATATTTTGATATTATCTTGCACTTGCAGTTTGGTTTGTTTGTTGTTCGTGAAAGTTAGTAGTGATTATGGTATATTTGTAACAAGCTTAAAATTTAGCAAGTTTTAGCTTGACAGAAATGATGGAACATAATCTTTGACAAAATCTTGAGTTATTTCATATCTACTTTCTTATCCTAAGATTAATTTCCAAGTTAACTATTATCTTGAATTTCTTTCCGATTCAATTAGGATTAGCAGTACCCAACCCCATAAATAGGGTTAAGTGCTTAATTCTTGTGTCATAAAAATATCAATCATATTCATATTTTAGTCTTTATTCATTATCTCCTCTCTTTATCTAAATCCCCGTGACTTTAACAGTTATATAGGTAACTTCAAAAGTACAGTAGAAGCTTTCACACTGGTTTGATTATCTTACCAACATCTTTTTTTTCAGCTAAGCCAGGTACTATTAACTTTGGATGGGAAATAGCAGCGTCTTCTGAACCCTTCTCTTCAGTGGCATGTGAATCTGATGAAGAGCTGGAGCATCTTCTTATAACAATACCTCTGAAAAATATTGTAGAGCTTGTTACAATATAATTAGACAGTTACACAGACGCTCTTAAAGTTTCATCATCATAAGGAAAAAGATGATAAGCAGCCTTCCCAATTTAAACAAATTCGAACTAAAATATGGTCCCCGAAAAATCGCACCCAGTCTTAATTTTCTTGAGCGATAAACAGATGAACAAGGAATTGTGAAACTTTAAAGTCTAAACTCTAGACCGCAACTAAGACAACATTCATATTAAACCTATATATAAACCATGTAAAAGTAAGATGGCAGTTCACAGGAAAAATAATAAAATAAAATAGTCCTTCTGACAATACAAACAAAAACTCCAAGTGATTTCCTAATTATAACATAATAAAGTATTTCCATCTAGAGTATAAAGAAGAGCTGTGTTTTTAATAACAGAAAAGAAACTAGACAAACCTAGCAACAAAAGAAGTCAAGAGTAAACTGGAGAACCATATTTCAACAAAAAAAAATGGCAAGGATGTAGAAAGTACAGCCATATGCAAACTGTCGCAGTATAGAAAATTTGGGAACTTTATATATAATGAAAGCATTCCCCATATTTAGAATGAAAATCATCTGAGTGGAAAGTTAGTAGAAAACATGCACAGTGGACCCAACAGCAAAAAGGAAGATAAGAGATTGTTACCTGTCACCCCAAGTGGACTGAATTTTGTGGAAATGATCATAGACAGGTAACAAAACCTTCTGTCTTATTTCAACCTCGTTAACAGGAATATCTTCTATCTCAATCTCTCCATTGGTTAGAAGATCAAATTTATTCAGCCCTCCAGTCTCAAAAGAACCCATCACAAAGAAAGACACCTAAAATTGAGGAGGAAATAGTTTGACTGAATGAACATAATAATGTTGAGAAAGTAGGCAAACATGATTCTTCAGTGCATAAATCAAATGAGTACCTCAGACTTCTCCCAAATTGGTATCCTCCCAGAGCTTATATGTACCTCTGCATTTGAGAAGTGACAATCCTGATTAGGTTTAATAGAATCATCGTTCCCAACACTATAATTTTCACAGTTTGAAACATCTAAGATCATTTCAGCAGCATCCAGTCCACCAGGTGTATTCCCTGATATATATACCTCCTTTTCTTGCCAATCATATCTCCTACAGACATCCCACCACTGAACAGGTTCAACCTTCACTCGTAAATCTTCTTCTTGTATCTGTGGTAAAGGAACTTGGGCTGTTCTTGAAGCAGTTTCATTTGGCTCTGCCATCAATGATGGTAGTAGGTTATATTGAATTAAGTGACCAGAAGGCGTATAAACCAGTAAGTGTTCCAATACATGAACTTTTGCGTATGCGTTGTGTGAGTCAAGAGAAACAGAACTATGAAAGACAGCAGAAACAGCACCAGATGGAACTGAGACTTTCCCTGCTGCAGAAGATGCAGCATTACTAACCGTATTGAGCCATCCGGCATTAACATTTTTTATTCTGCTAACCACAGAAAGAAGAGCAGGAGGTTGGGGGGGTATGTGGCAAAGCTGTTGATGCTGGTTTACAGTAAAATTTGGAGTGAACCACCATGGTAGAGGAAAAACTGGCAAAAGAGCGGGTCCTTCTGTATCCTGATTGTGTAGCTTAAGAACGGTCTCACCTCCAAAAGGAGAAAGGACAAAAATATGACAAGTTCCCTTGGAGGAAATGATGGCAACCCACTGACTGTAGTGGCTAAAACAAATATCTTGTATTACCTGTGTAGCATACATGATTTAGTAAAAACCTTTGCAATTATTGAAAAGTACGGATTTAATCTTGATCTCTTGTTCATTATACCATCATCTAAACATATCTTGCCAAATCAACAAGAAGTTTGACTAACAATGCCACTAGCTAGGAAGGTTAACTCTCTATTGGTGTGTCAAGACATTATTAGATGATGGTGTGAAACAGTTTATCAAATTTAAGCTCTAAACAGAAAGACCTAAAATAAACGCAGAGAATAGCAGCATACAGCAGATGTCATGCCACGGTGGAGTTTGTAAAGGTGCACATGAGAACAACTCCAATCATTGCTCTGAGAACCCGGTCCTTTCTTTGAGTAGGATGGCATAATTCGAAATATATTGATGTTATTACCATGAATTGAGGCAGTAACTAGAAGTGTTCCACTCGGATCGAAACATAGCGCTGATATAGGACTAGTATGGGCCCTAAATTGTGCCACAACAGCCCTAGAAACAAAATCCTTGACAACAACCTGCAGAAAATTAGTAATAGCAGTCAACAGGAATACCATATAGAATGATTATTTTCCAGCTGCCACTGACAAACTAGTATCATCTACCTTAGAAAATCCTTCTTCTATGGCTAAGCTGAACCAATAGATGATCTCATGTAAATTGTAATAAAGATGCCAATATTACTTTAAGAAAGAAAATATCTGGTCAGCAGTCCAGAATCATTGCAAAAGAAAAATCAAATGTAATGTGTTACATTGTTATCAAATAGAACACTCACCACTCCGGCCGAATCTGTTTCTGTAGAATTTGAAGCAAATCGACTAACTTTCCAGCTTGAATTTGGAGATACAGGGGAACTTGACCCGTCAGGCATTAGATCTTGATAGTATTTAGACAATGTTTTGTAGCCCATATCACTAAGATTGATAAGCCCAGTAGCCAAGTGCTTACTAGATTCCATGGCATATCGGGCTACCAGGTTTCCGCTGCTTGGTGATGTTGATGGGCTAACAGAAGGAGGAGTCAGACTTTGAGGACTTAAGCGACTTGTGTTTGACAGCAATGGGTTGTTGGAGGCATAAGCTAACCACCGCGGCCCTACAGCCATTGGACCATAGCCAATATTAACCCCAACTATTCCTTGTCCACCCAACTGAGGCACGGGATAAGTGAGAACACTAAATTTATTCTCAAGAGTAAGAGCATCAAAACAGTATATCTGCAAGCAAATTAAAAATTAAAATAACAAATTAGTCAGGTATAATAACAAACTAAGTCACGGTATATTACTAAGTGATTCATTAGGCCTCATGAAGTATCGGTATACTGAAAAGTTTTAATATATTTGGGAATATGCTTAGATATTTTAAATTCAACAAAGTGGAATGGAGTAAAACCTACCCAATGGTAACCGAAAACAATTATAAACCCAATTTCCTCAATAAGATAATGTTGAAAAATTATAGGTGATAAAAACAAATAGCAAACATACTTAACTCAAAAACTTACTTGAGTAGCAAGACCCACTGCGACTATTTGAGGACTGCATCTAACCATGTAGACAGTTGAACGGAATCTTAGAGCATGGACATAGGTATGAGACCTTAGTGAGTAAAATCTAACCGTTGTAGCTGAGTTGATAATATTTTCAGCTTGAGCTTCATTGTGGCCATCTCTGACATTTTGCACTGTACCTGGTATCTTTGATTTATCACACGCAACTACCAAGAGTAAAGGATGTGATGCTCTAAATCCTTCACAGTCCTCTGATTTTGCAGGGACAGGCTGCATCTGTAAAAACGAAACTGGATCATCGCGTTTTGAGACAAGTTCCCTGATATTAGAGGCATCTTCCACATCAAGAACTTGAAAGCCGTTAGTATATCCAAGTAAGAGGACATGTTTGAAAGAAGACAGACTAAGCTCTAGCCTATCAAAGCAAGCCCAAAGCACCTGTTTCACAAAAAGTAGATATCAATAATTCTGACATCTCCGTTCATAAATAATAACTTTGCCATAGGATGGCATAATGCTGATCAAAATGCAAGTCCACTGATCAAAATACACGAGGCAACAAAACATAAGAAATAACGATTAACCAATCATTTCATACTTGATAGGTATGATACAGCGTCTCAGCAATTCACAATAAGAACAACGCTTCTACCTAACCATCAGCAATCAGAAACCTAGTAAGTTTTAGTGGAACTAAAAGCTTTCATCAAAACTCACGTGTATCTCACTTCTCATTTCAGAACAGCATTCACAAGTCACGATTTCAAAAAGTAACAACCAAAACATTTAAAAAATTAAACACTACCTGATCTTTATTATCATGTCCATCGCCGGAAATAGATGCAGCAACGGAGGCGCCGGCAGTTCTGACGCCGGAAGAGGCGGTCTTAATGCAAGACGAAATGAACTTGAAAGAAGAAGGAACGAATCCATTGCTCTTGCAACCGTTGTTCTTTCCCTGCTTCTTCATAACAATTAAAATACACTACGCGGTTTTCTAAAGGCCACCGGTGAGTGACCGGGAATTCCGTCCCCGCCGACGACAAGAGTCGCGGAACGCACTCGATCGGATATAGCATAAGAGTCAAAGACGACGGGATTCGCCCTACACGGCGCGGCGATAACAAACTTCGGTTTTCTGTTTTAGTTGGTTGTTGAATAAAATTTGACCTTAACAGAGACGGTTCTTCTTCTTCTTTCTTTCAAGCTTTGGATACACATTCTCCTGCTTTGGTGCTAATCACAAGTCTAGTTATCTTAATTGTCATTTAGATCCCGTGACATTTTCGATAATGTCATCTATATCCCCTTCCAATATTTTCAAACTTCAACTTCGCTCCACCCTTCTAAATTACCATCAAACCCCTCACGCAATCCTCGTTCTATTTTAATATGGATGAGTTTGAGGGGGTAAGATGGACATTAAACAAGAAGACACGTGGGTAACGCGTGATATTTTATTTAGGATAATGAAACCAGGGGCGTAATCGGGTTATGAGGAATTTATGGGGAGAATTTTGATACGGTAGTATAATATATGTTTATGAAGAAAGAAAAGGTTTGGGGAATAATTAAAAATACAAGGTCATTAGGCATATAGAAATATTGATTAGAAACGACAAGGAAGCAAGGGGAATATGTTAAACTAGATGCGGAACTAAAATAAATATATATTTCAATTGCACTTACAAGTTACAACCTGTACTTGTTCACCAAGAAAATGATAATGATTGAGTTGTAATTCTAGGTGGAGTAACGTGAACCCTTTTCCTATTGGTTTCTCTACACACAATGTAATAACTTATACCCTTCTATTTTAGACTTTTATTAAATAGGGAGTAAGTATTTCTCAAAAATATTACAATTTTATTAAATAAATTGTAGAGAATAATAATTAAATGACATAAATAAAAAAGTTATTATTATTTTCACAATGAAAAGTAAAAATAATTATTTGTTTTTAATCAAATTATATATATATATATATATATATATATATATATATATATATATATATATATATATATATATATATATATATATATTAAAATATCAATTATTTTAAAATCAATAATGTGAGTAGAAATCGTGAGTTTTTTATATTAGAATCCATGAAAAATTATTTTCGATTTTTATGAGTAAACAATTTTTTATTTTGCACAAAGAAATAAATTGCGAGACAACGTGAATCTATATTCATAAGAAAGGGGTCAAACTTTTAAAAATATATTTAATTATTTTATTTTTTTAAAGATAAATAATTGTGTTATTATTTAATATATTTTTAGAAATAGTTATAAGATTTGTTTTAATTCTATATTGATTTGGGCGTTGGAGTGTTAATCATATCGATGTTTTTCTTGAGTCCACTGTATTGGAGATTATCAACATCAATTCAAGATCAATATTTATGATTCAAGATGTGTACAATCGCAATATTTGGTCCAAGAAGACGCATCATTGAATCGCTTAATAAGCTTCGTTCTACCGTAGCTTTCGCAATACTCTTCATTTTTTATTCCGCAACAAAACAGTGGCGTCGTCTGTGGGAATCGACGTTCGATTCCTACAATTTCTACGAGAAACATGTTCACTTTGCAAACACCATCGAACAAACTCATATATTCCAGATCTGAATTTTGGAGGTTCAGATCCAGATCTCTGATTCGCCAACTTACAACCTAATTAAACCATTGAATTGATAGTGAATCAACCTTTGGTTCCCGAGTTTTCCTTTTTCACCTCCCGCAACCTTCTCAGATTTCAAATTCAAGAAATGTTTGGAGGAGAACGCAGTGATCCGTCGTGGTAGATTTGATATACTATCGCCTCTATCCCATCCTATCAGAGACCAGATCTCCATTTTTCTCGAGAACTCCACAAATTAGCGAGAAGAAGACTCCCAGACACAGATATAAAGTTGTGCCGGGGTCTAAAGGTAACTTCCATCAAGACCATAAATTTGCAATTTGTCTCCCGACCTAGCGTCGTCCCTGCGATTTAATTTCGCTAGAACTTATACAGCGCTTTCAAGATATCACAAATTCATAGTTAATAACGCCCGAATACTACATGTTCGTAGTTAATATCGGACACAAATCTAATATCAAGGTGCATCATGGATAGGTCATATAATTTCCAAGGGATGCACTAAGGTTTCCACCAACTGGATTGTGAAGCAAGGGTTCATTAGAAATGCCCAATGAAAGATGTCTCGGATCTCGGCCGCCAAAAGACCTGTTAGTATCCACATTTGACCATTGTTCGACACTCTGAGTTCAGTTTGAGAAGGGAATGAGAAAACCACGACTCTGAGCTCCTTGACAAGACATTAAATAGAGCAACTCGACGGGACTAAAAATTAATGGTAAGCTTTAAGTTGCATCCTTAGAGCAGTCGATCCTCTAACACACATCAGCGGGAAAATGCAAGGCAAAACACCTCGGGTACCTCCATCAAAGGTTGATCGTATCCAAAACCAAAGGCCCCATCTTCCGTATCAGTCGACAGTCGTGCAACCCAACTAACACATCCAAGGGCAAGCGATCGGTATAAATTTACGATCGACTGTAATATTTAATTAATGTATTTGTAAAATTGTTGCCTAGTTATAATTACTGATATAATTGTTGAATGCAAATCATATATATATATATATATATATATATATATATATATATATATATATATATATATATATATATATATATATATATATATATATATATATATATAAAATTTTTACTGCTCTGCTTTATGTCTTGTTCCCTTTTTATGACATCGAAGTATGAACGCATGTAACATTCGATCGGGGTACAATCAGCACAGTTGATACCAAAAATAAAGATTTTAAGGGTGTTGTCGGAGATGCTTTGCATGTCCGACTACAACAACCAATACCCCACAGCACCGAGCATGCTTAAAGATTCCAGGGGTGCTGTCGAAGATGTTTTGTACATCCGACTATAATAACCAACACCCCACTGTGTCGACCACGCTTAAAGATTTCAGGGGAGCGATCAGAGATGTTTTACACGTCCAACTACAACAACCAATTCACTTAGGGGTGATGTCGGAGATGCTTTGCACGTCTGACTACACAACAATAAGTTACCCTAGTCAAAGATTACACACTTTTCTACATAGCTGACGTACTCATTCCCTTCAGATTTAGCCAATTCAATGGACTTGAATGGTGAAGCTTAGAGACGTCTACCTCGATCTTGTAAGTTATATGTATTCCTAAGAGGGGGGTGAATTAGGTTCTTAGACACTTTTTCCGGTTTTTGATGATTCTTGGATTTTACTTGATTAAGTGCTTCTCGGTGATGAAAGCCAATAAATGCGGAAAGTAAAGAACACAGCGATGTATAGTGGTTCCCCTCACAATCCGAGAGTACTCCACTCCCCTTTCAACATGAAAGAGTATTTTACTGTCAATGTTAGATTTCCTAAGACAATTCTAACAACCAAGAACACCCTTCTTGGATTTACACAATTTTAAAGTCCTACCGAGAATGAATATCTCACACAAGGACCTCTTGTATCCACAATCCGGATAACAAGGAAAACCCTACACACTTATCTTTAACAATCCTAAAAATAAGTTGTAGTAAATTTGAATTTGTATAAGTAACAATTTGAATGTTTATCACTACGAATACTGATCTTCTTCTCGAAACAAATAATACTCAGATATAATATACAAGTGTTCTTTTTGTGAAAGAAGGTTGTGAAGATGTGAAAGTTAAATTCAATGGCTTCTTTCAAAAATCTGGTTTGAACACTTTTATGAAAGTTCAAAAGGTTGAAGACAAAGAGTAATTTTTGAAATTTGTTTCTTGAAGGTGATTTTGATTTTGAAAAAGAAATCAATTTATAGAAGTTTTCCAAAAAGGTGTGATTTTGGGACAGCAAAACATAGCCAGTAAGAAATCTTAGAACAATGCAATCTTTCATAAAAAGCTGTTATTTTTGCTCACTGGTCCAGTGTTAATCGGTTAACCAAATAGGTTAATCGGTTAACACCTTTCCAACGTTTAAAATATTTGAATTTTTCATGTGTTAATCAGTTAACCCATATGGTTAATTGGTTAACAGTGTTAAAACGTCCCAAAAACATAATTTTGAAATGTGTTAATCGGTTAACCCATATGGTTAATCGATTAACACTGAAGGTTTTTCCAAAAATACTTAATTTAAAAATATAAAGAGTATTTTAAAATGTTTTGAATGACTTAGTGATAGTGGTGTAGTGAAGTGTGATTGAAAGAACACTTGTATAAATATTTCTAAGTAAAATATGTTATACCGTTCTTTGTATCATCAACACCACTTGAAGCTTGAGGACGAAGCTTTGATCTATAGCGCCATATGCGACTTTATCTTGATCTTGATAATTTATTCTTGTTGATTGCTTGCGTCTCTTGCTTTTTGTGAAGTATTCAGAAGAAATGTGCTTCTGGTTTTATCTTCAGTATATATACCCCCATGAGTATATTGTATAAGCATCTTCAATACATATACCCCCACGGGTATATAGCATAAGTACCTTGCGTGCCAGGCTTGTATGAGTTGTCTTCATCAAAACACAAAGGTCTTGAAGCTTGCTTCCACAATCTCCCCCTTTGATGATGACAGTTGTTTCTTTGAAAATCTTGCTTTGATACTTGATTCATAACATTTCTCCCCCTAAGTTGGATCTCCTCCTAAATATAAGAGAGAATAGAACTTTTTTTGCATATGGAAATGTTAGAAACACAATCCTTCTCCCCCTTTGTCATTAGCAAAAAGGAAGAGGGGCAAGGAAAGAAAAAATAGCACACAAGCATTCATAATAAAAACAACAATCACTTATCACATAAAACATAACTTGATTGAAATTAAAATGAAGCAAACATTGTACGAATACAAGAACGAGTACGAAACTGAAATCTTAAAACTTAAACATAATCAGAATTTAGAAAGCAA